AGATAATAATAAAAAAAAGAGGTTGGTCTGGATCACACCGATGACCACAGAGTTGAAACTGTGGGTTGCTGATATTTGTGAGGAGAGTAGGGTTCATGTTGAAGTTTATGGTGACCCAGAGAACATGTACCATCTGCCTAAGCTTGTTCCAAACCTCCTAAGACCGGGAGAATACCTTCCGCTCTGGACTGGACTAACGGTGCCCCTATTCTACAGCAGAGATCTCAAAGCAACTTCACACAACGTTGAGGCTAAAAATATTTTTCATGGACTGTTCAAGCATGACTTTCTTCCTATAAGGATGCAGTGGATACATTCATTGCACATGCCACATGAGGATCTGTTCTGCAAAAACAAACTAAAGAAGCAGAGGTCGCTGAACAAGGCAATACAGTGAATCCCAAGGATCCAGACGATGTTTCTGTGGAGCCCCTTCCCTGGAGCCCAAAACTGTCACAAACATGGAGCCAGAAGAAGAGCAGCTGTAGAAAACTGGAGAAGCTTCGCAGTCCCTCCAAATAAGAGTAAATTAACTTCAAACCCCTCCACAAGTCCTGAATGGCTCCACTCAGGAAAAGGAAAACAGTTAAAGTAGGGCTGTTAAAAATGGAAATAATCAACAGCCAATCAAACTTGGCCGGGAACAATACAGTGTGATGAACACCTGTGCTTTTGAAGCCTTTTTGTCAAGGCCTGCGCGGTGCTTTCCGTCTCTCTGCTCAAAACGTGTTAAATAGCTCAGAGGAGAATAAAGTATTCCAGCTCTTGACATCTCCAGCTTCAAAGGGTGTCACTCAGCATACCTGTGCTTTGAGGGCAGAGCCTCTACGTTCGAAACTCTGCCCTGTTCGGTTAAAGTCAGGTGTCCATCACGTTGATCCACAGCGCCGTGTGTCCACAATAATTCAGATAACAATGACGGAAAATCCACCAGTTCACCTCACAGAACAGCGTTCCTCCTGGTTCTGCAAACTTTCCTCAGCAAACAAGAGGCAAATACCCTTCGTCTCCATAGATTTGTCAGGCCTCTCTGCTTCTGGCATGGCTCACCTTTACTCTGCTGTGGAACAAGGGCTCGACTGTGCAGCATCTCCATGCTTTAAGACCAATCCCAGGTCCTGCTCTTTGTCTGACAGCAGGACTTTCATAAGATGCTGTGCACGTGGTCTGTTTGGACACAACACCAGACACACTTGGGCCTTATCTGACCTTCTGTAAAAGGAGCCCATACCTGGCAGATGTATGATGGCCTGAGAAAAGATGGAGGCAAACCTCATGCTGTGCTCTACACAAAGGCATGAGGATTTCACCAAAGACAGTGCTTTTTCCATTTTATTTTGTGGTTCAGATAATGGAACATCCTATCATTTTAGAGTAATTGTGTTAAACTTGAGGGGCAAAGACATCTCATGTTTTGTTTTTCTCAACATGAGACGTACCTACAATGTTCTGATAGTTTTGTATTTTGCAGGCTGCAAATAAATAACAAACTCCATTAGACTGCCTAGTTTATTTGGACTATTATAAAAGTGTTATAACTAAAAGTATTCTAACTAGTTTGAATTTTTTCAGGTGTAATAATGGTAAAAAAAAAGTTTTAAAAAAGGTCCAAAGCTTGTTTCTTACAATTACTGGATTTCATTCTGTCACGTCTGGTGTCTCGTCTCGTCTTGATTACCTATTGTGTACACCTGGGGTTTCCCTCCCTAATGTGTTTAAATAGTCCTCGTTTCCCCTTGTCTTGTGCGAGTGCGTTCTTGTCCTTTCGTCCGTCTTGTCCATCGTCACCCCCACGCCAGGTTTGTTTTGCCATAGTCTTTTTTTTTTGTCATAGTCACAGTTTTGCCACAGTTTTGTCATTCTTTACTTTGTTACTTTGTCACAGTCATAGTTTTGCCACAGTCTTGTTTGCTATTGCTTTGATACTTTGATCACAGTTTTCCACAGCTTTGATTTGTACTTTGTCTGGACATTCACTCTGTTTTTGTACAATAAACCTTGTTTCCCCTCATCTCCGCAACTGAGTCCTCCGTCAACACCCACCTTCCTGACACATTCCTTGTGGAAGGGCCAGTAGACCATTAAGTGTTCATTAATCAGAATCAGAAATACTTTAATAATCCCAGAGGGAAATTATTTTTGTTACTAACTCCAGAAATACAACAGCATATACATATATACATGTCTATAAATATATACATATATACAGTATATATACAAAATTCCACACAAAATATAAATATATACATATGTAACTATATTTTATATATAGATCTAAAATAAGTGATAATGATAATGCCAATAAATTAGTAATAATTTACAGAGGGGGGGTGTCTGACTCTCTGAGAGAGGCATTGTAGAGATTGATGACCACTGGCATATATCTAAAACGAAAGCAGCACAAACTAAACTTTTTGTCGCGCCAACATTTGACACCCATTTTGTTAGACCTGAAGAAGGAAGGATGGCCAACTTCACCCAGCTCCTCTGGTCCTGTTCCAAATCTGCAGATGAGCCAGCTCCCTAATCTGGCTCCTCCTGCCCGTACTTCTCAGCTCTTGTCATCATCTTCCTGCAGCCTGGGCCTGGGCATCTGGACACCACTAGTAGCCAGGACACATTATCAGCAGCAGTAACACTCTCCGATCTAATTTAGCACCTTATTTAAAATGTTACTAATGTGTCATCTGGGCTCCTACAATTAGCAGGTTGTTGTTTTTCTGCTATGGCATGAACGAAACTGAATCAATGCTGACATGTTTTTAAAACTGCTTGCCAATTACCCTTCAGATAAATTAATAAAATCAGAAAACAATACACCATTACCCAGACTACAACAAAAAACTCCTGTACATGCAATTAGTCCCTCCCAGAACCTTTATAGATGTGTTGTTTCCCTAAAGAATCTTTTGGCTGCACCCTTTGGAGAAAAAAAATAAGTTTTTCCATTTTCTAGCACTAGAATACACTTATCTTACAAACATAACTGCACTTTTCATCGTCAACTCCAAGAAACTACTGCTGTCAGTGACTAAAACAAATAGAAAAAAATAAATAGAGGACAACAAAAAGTTGCAGGGATTGGTTTTGCATAAACTGGGGAACTACTAAAAAGATAAATCAGCCGTATCACCACAAAGATAGAGAGCCAACATGGCAAAGAATGGTTGTTTCCAGTTGATGCTGAACAGGGAGGCCCGATGAGGCGTAATGCCAAACGAGTCTGGACGCAGGAGCAAATCAAACTCCTCTAGAGAGCCTGCACAGCCCAATCTCAGACTCAACCAACACAACACCCCAGCCAAACATAATCATGAAAATCAGAGTCTTTTCGACTCTCTAACAATGCATGTTGCTTTTATTTTGTGTGGGATAAATAGTAGGCGATGTCCTCGATCCTCAACATTTATTTAGCGTATGATAGCCACCGGTTCGGTGGTGAGGTGCTTAGAACCATCGCCTCCCAGCAAGAAGGTTCAGGGTTCTAGTCCCCGAGGGAAGCAGGACCTTTCTGTGTGGAGTCTGCACGTTCTCCCTGTGTCTGTGTGGGTTCTCTCCGTGTTCTCCGGTTTCGTCCCACCGTCCAAAGACCTGCATGTTAGCTTGATTTTGGACATTCCAAACTGCCCTTAGGAGTGAGTGTATGTGGTTGTTGGTCCTTGTTTGTCTCTGTGTGAGCCTGTGATGGACTGACCAGGGTGAACCCCGCCTCTCCCCCTATTGACTACTGGGAGAGTAGTCAATGGGGTCCCCCTGTGACCCCATTAGGGAATAAGCGGTTACAATAATGGATGGATGTAGTATGAGGTCTGGGATGACATAATGAAATAAGACAGACTTTGTCACCTGCAGTTCAAATGTCATCCAACACTGACATCTTGTGGCTACATTAGTTCCTTTCACATGTCATGAAAAAAGGCCCTCCATAAGGCCTTTTTCCTGCATGCTCTAGACTTCCAGTCAGTTAATCAATAGTCTCAGCTAACCAATAGTTTTGGAATTTGTGACGGGACCATTGGACGTTTGTGCTGCACTGTCAAGCAGTCAAAATATCAAAATCTGTCTCTGTTGGGAGAAAAACACAGATTCTTTTGAAAAATGGATGCAGCTGATCAATGCAGTTGGTGGAACACAATGGGAAACATGACTCTGAAACAACTTTTTCTCAGATTGTTGTTACATTGAATAGAATTTTTGAACGTATGCTAAATTGAATTGGCCAAAAAAAACAAAGAAAATACCAACTTGAGAGTTTTGTCTTTTTAAAGCTCAAACCAATGGACAAATTACAAGTAAAAGTTTTGATTGCAGTTTAGACTATTTGTGACATTGCTTGTTTTTTTAAATTTTATTTCTAATCCTCTGAGCGAAAGCCAGGATTTCCATATGCCACCAATAAAACAAGAGTCTTCTTACTGGTCTTTTCCCATAGTCCAACCCATGCGCCAGTCTAGCGCAATATGGAATGAAACGTTTACAGAGACAGTGTCTGAGCTCAGGTCCCCACCAAAAACTCATCCGGCCACCAAAAACTCATCCGTCCTCGGCCGAAGACCTGTGAATCAGTATGAAAGGAAGAAGTGGAGACACGTGGCAGCTGTAATATCATCATCTCAAATGTAAATGCTTCAGGGGATTATATTTCTGTTCTCATTACTTTGTCTTGAATTACATTTTTGTTGTAGTCTGGTACATCACTCGGAACATCTACTAGATATTGTTTGGTTTAAAAGGCCTGTGGCCAGTATTGTTTTAAGTGGTCCACATGTCACTAAACAGTGTTGTTGTGCCTGAATGTTGGCTGTGAATCTTTGGATCCTTTAGCAATAATCCCCAAAAAATAAAAAATAAATTGTGTAACTGCCTCAATCAGATAGGATTTGGCTGAGATTGGAAACTTGTTGGTCCAGCAGGGGGCACTGTTCCCCCTGAAGGAACAGAGCCTTCAGTGGGAACACCTGTTCAGAAGAAGGTGTTTCTGTCATTTATAAACTTTATAACGAACAGCTGTCATAGCAAAAGGTCCCCTGGTACAATAATGAAATTGTTTCCTCCACCCCACACACACCACCCCCTCAGTGGAGCTGATGTAATTAGACTCACAACAGGTTGAAGGTACCTTCAAACTTATCACGTCCACATTAAGAGAATATATTTGAAAGAAAACAGCACTTGACATTCAGATAATTATCCACATTTTATCTTTTAAAAAATGTTTTAAAACAGAACATATACTTCTCTCGCTAGGTATCCGTCAGTGAGAAGGAGGCAGGAGCCCGCGAAGGGCCCACGGAGGGAAGGGGTCAGTGAAGCCTCCACCGAGTCCGAGCCACGAGTGGGAGGGCCGCAGGTGCGGGCCTGAAGTCACCGTGACCCAGTGCCGTCCGAGAGGCGACAGACTCACCAAACCGCGGCGGAGAAGATGGAAAACAAGCAGTGCCAGGTATTTCTTTTCCCAAAAGCAGCGGCCAGGTCGTTTGAAGAGGCAGCTGGGATGGCGCGAGCTCCCCAATTAGCCGTGGCGGTAACAGTTGGTTACATTGTGTTAACGAGTGCTAATTTACTCACTTTGCTCGCTGCTTATTTACTCACTTTGGGATTTCCCCCCAAAATTAAGCAGGACTCACGCTATTGTTGACGTTTAGTGTTACAAAACAGTTACAAAATCATATCCGGTTTGATATATTGGTAGTTTTAATGTGGTCTTTTTAAATTCGGAGCCCACTCGTTAATGTGTGGAGATATATACCTAAAGAGAGATAGGAAACCAAAACAAACGTGATTTATTACTAATAAATCACGTTTGTTTTGCTCTCTTTGCTGTTCGGGTTAGGGTTAATGAGAAAACAGTTTACTTAGATCTGACAAGCCACCATAATGATGGCACCATGGTCCAAACGAATCCTTGTGAATAGTTCTGTATATTTCACGGCCTGTAGACAGTCATGTTGATTTCAGGGGAAAGAAAGGGTCTTCAGGTAATTCTTTAAAGCTTTTAGATTGAATTTAGTTTCAATATAATGCTGTGCCCTGAATTTATTAACCAATGGGTTGCAACTCTACCCCAAAAAATGGAGGGATTCTTCTTTTTAGAGGTCTTGTGCTTGTTTGGTGTTACTAATGTGTACATTTTCCTTTTGTAGATACAATGAAAATACTTAGGGATAACTGGACAAGTATTGATGTGCTCAGTGGCTCCTAATAGTTCTTTTTGACAGTGGTTGCAACTGTGATATTTTATACATGAAATTGGGATGAGGGATCAGTCCTAGCATGTTTCAATTTAGTGCAAACCTAATCTTAACTGAAAGGTCTGGAAATTGGAGAGAATATGAGGGAAGAGCTGATATTTGATGTCAACAATTAAATCAGAAAGTTGAAAGCGAGGCAAGGAGGAAAGAGAGACATTTCTAGAATCTACAGTGAAAGATTGTAACAAACAGGTGACTGCTGAGGGTGTCAGATTTGGTTAGAGAAGGTGCAACACCCAAAGATTGTTCCGATTCTCCACTTGTTTGAACAGGAATTGTATATTCCGAGTGGTCCATCAACTCTTCAGACATAGTTTTTAGGCCAGAGAGGGATCGAGTTATGGAGCCGTCTTGGGCTGTGTTGTCGGGGGTGAACACATGTGAAAACATGGCACCTTTTTCAGCTAGAAGAAAATCAAGAGTCCACGTTTATTTCCAAGTCATCAGAGATTTAGCAGAGTTCACGCAGTCCAGCTATGGCATATCAGAATCAAGTAAACCTTTGAATATTAAACATGAACATAATTAATCCAGATTTCTTTTATATTTTTTATGGTCACCTATCAAAACAGGGCCGTCTCAAACTGAGCAGTGATCTGATCAGATCATTTCTATTCATCAGGGACACCTCTGGGAACTGCGTCTATGTAAATCTGGGAGTTGTGAGTCCACTGAGCCACACGTAACCCTGCAGGGAGAAAAACTCACAGCAGTTAGAGGGATGGTTAGCTTCCTCCTTACACCATCACGCTCTGTTCTAATTACCAACATTAAAAGAAAAAAAACATTTGAAATACATCAGTCTGTGTGTAATGAATTAATTTAATACACGAGTCTCACTTCTCAAATGAAATTACTTGAATAAATCAACCTTTCATGATATTCTAATCTTATGACCTGTATATAATATTAAAGCCGAGGGTTTTGATGACAAACAGCCCAGATGGCCAGGTGTGATGTACAGTTATCTTCTTTTGCTGGACCACACACAACCGAGTCTCCTGGGCCCGCTCTTTATTCATGCACACTCCACTGAAAATCAATATGACATGATGCTATAATGCAGAAGAGAGGTACGAGGAACCTTTAAGCACTACCAGAGGTTATATGACCTCGGTGTAAGATTATAATTGTAAAGAGAACAAATCTGTTATTAAGTTACATAAATTAATTGAAAAAATGAACAAATAAAAGCCATTTCTAACAGTGCATTTGGAGTACCAAAGTAAGTGACCACAGAAGGGTTTATTTTTGTTCTCTGAGGAGAGAAACAGAGCAAACAGATGTAAACTTCTGAAACAGGCCAACAGATATTTGTTGTCCCGTGTTTAAAACGGGAAAAACAGAGCAGGCGTTGTGCGAGAAGGTCTGTCTTTTTGCTCTCCGTATTTCTCTGGGCAGCCCGAGGCCGTCCAGAGACACTGAGGTTTAACGCTTTAAGGTTCCTCCTCAGGTGCTGAACGCCGAGAGGGTGAAGGCTCTGGAGGCCTGGGTGGCAGCCACCCACACCAAACTGTCTCAGGTGAACGGCCAGAGGAAGTATGGAGGACCGCCTGAGGGTGAGAAAAACTGCCTTAGCTGTGAAAGGCATAGCGCTCTGAGTCACTGCGCTGTTTCCGTGTTGGTTTTTCAGCAATGTTTTTGAATGGTAAAGTTAAGTGTAAAATAAATAGATAGAAAGAAACACCCAAACTGACCAGTACGTCTGGCTGCAGACTGTAGGAAGCCAAGTCGGCCACTGGAAAGAACTTTCCAGTCTTGTGCAGAATGTGCTGAGTCAGCGTAGAGAAATGCCCATCTTTACCTCATCTTTTCCTATCATTTACATACTGTACTGTACTATACTGTGTTTTATGTAATGTGTGATTAATGATGTGGACACCACCCAACGGCGTACATGAGCAGGTTCTATCTTCTCTCCGACTCAGTGTGGCACGGCCCCCCCCCCGGGAGCCCGCTGCGAGGTCTTCATCAGCCAGATCCCGCGGGACGCCTACGAGGACCTCCTCATCCCCCTGTTCGGCTCGGTGGGGCCGCTGTGGGAGTTCCGGCTCATGATGAACTTCAGCGGGCAGAACCGGGGCTTCGCCTACGCCAAGTACGGCACGGCGGCCACGGCCACCGACGCCATCCGCCAGCTGCACGGCTTCGTGCTGGAGCCGGGCTTCCGTCTCAACGTGCGGCGCAGCACGGAGAAGAGGCACCTCTGCATCGGAGAGCTGCCCGTCTCCACCCGACGGGAGGCTCTGCTGCAGGTACGGCCGCTCTGGGGAGGGTCTCTACTGACCACACGTACTGACCAGTATTCTGCAGGTCGCCGAGGCAGAGTAGCAGCACAGACACCACTGGTGCTTTTCCATTAGTTCCCACTCAGCCCCTCACGGCTCAGCCCAGCTCGGTTCCACACTAGGCTGGTCCCGATCCGATATGTGGATCGGGCCGGCCGCCGATATTCGCAAAAAACTGCGTGTCAGCCAGCATGAGAAAATGCAGATCCAGACTCCTGATGCAATTTTTTATTTTAAAGTCTGAACCCACATTAGCATCAGCATCTGTAACCCACAGGTCTGTGTCCTAACCATTAAGTTGTTATCAGAGTAAATCCCTGTTCAACATGAGTCTGACAACTAAGTAAGTAGAATAGATAACTTTAAACTTTAATACAACGAACATATAGTTTTTTTAAAAAATTTTATTTGAACGTTTTTTGCTTAAAAGTGAGTTTAAGCCTGGTGTGTGATCAAGTTATTAGTTTGCATAAAAAGAAGTCAGTAAAATTATTTTTAAAAAGTCAAATCTCGAATCGCAGGACTACTAGGAAATGATGGAAGAAGTCAGTGGAAGGTCTGGGCAGATTTTACCTGGATCCATAACCCCCCTCTACTCGTTCCTCATCCTGCCTGAAAGCACTTACAGACATAATTTCTGAAACAGGGAAGTTGCCACGCCTCCGGAGCAGCTAACTGAACTTTTAAAGACAAACGCCTCAAATCGAGATGAGCCAAAGAGCCATCCAGGAGCTAAACTCTGCAAAGGCCAAGAGGCTTAAATATTTTCTGTAATAGGAACCCTTCAGCATGAGGAAAGAATCCCTGAATCAAACCGAGTTCACGTGGAGCTCCGTGCTGTCGGGGATGTTCTTGAACCCTCTCGTATCCTCCCGTCTGTGTGCCTGAGGTCTCGTGCTGCTTCCATGTGCTTCCAGGTGCTGCGTGGGCTGGCGGACGGCGTGCAGAGCGTTTCCCTGACGGCTGGCCCGGGCATCGAGGGCGTGTCCGCCGTAGTGGCCTTCTCGTCCCACCACGCTGCTTCCATGGCCAAGAAGGTGCTGGTGGAAGGTAGTGCAACCCAGCTCAAACGAGTTAGAGGCACCATTCCCACACAAAAAACCTGTTGTTTTTCGGGCATGTTTCTTAGTTTAGGCAAGTTTCAGTGTCTGATCCATGGGTGGTTTTTCAATCAGGGAAAAAAGGCTTTGAAACTGAAGCCGAAGTCTTGCCTTGTGGTCAGTGGCCTGCTGGGAAGCCTCTGATAAGAGGAAAAACTTAATCTGGAAAGGGGTTATTTGAGGAGAATCATTTTTTTCTAAATGGAGCATTCATTTCTGAACTACCACTCCACAGTGAGTCGTTCTCATGCCGGACCGGTTGGAGACTCCCCTCATGCTAACAGCCTTTTTCTGCCTGCTGCTCTCAGCTCATTTAGAAAGATGCTTTGTTGCTGATGATGTTCTCAGCATGTGAGGGCTCGATTTAAGGTGGACTTTTCCATCGTTATGCCCATATCTGTGACAGTATACATGCCACTGTGCTGAGCCCATGATAATTGTTCAGTTTGTGAAGATGTACAGTCATAGAAAACAGCAGCTCACCAATCACCCAGTTATGATTTTATTTAATCTGTTGTCCTGGCAAATGGATCAAGTCTTTGCAGGATTCGAAATTTGTGGGAATTTGGTATTAGCCAGCCGCCACCAAAAGTAGCAGCCCGATTGGTTCTATTCTGTCACGTGGGCTCCAGCAGACTAAATCTGAATATTTCTTCGTAGCCTCGCGTCACGTTGCGTCATATTTGGAAGTCAACATGCAGAAAATGGTCTGTTAGCAGATCTCCTGGAACGCTGTGGTCACTGTGCAGTAATATATTATTAAAAACGTTTTAAATTCCTCTCACTTGGCGGCGCAACAACGTCATGCCTTGAATTATGATAAACTGCAAGATAGCATGGCGGGACGATGGATTTCATACCAAAACGTTTCGTATTTTTGCTGATTCCCTGTATTTTATATAGAAACTTAATTTTCCAACCCATCCTACCCCAAGGACAATAACCTGGACAATAAAGCGGGCGCACAGTCAATAGGTCATTTTGAACCCTGGTCTTTGTGTTTAGAAGGCAAACAGCCTGCTCTCATTAACATATATTTATTTTGCTCACAAGAAAAGCTGCTAATCATCAGTTCCTCACTGACAGATTTCTACCCGCTCTCTGTGTCCCAGGGTTCAAGAAGCAGTTTTCCCAGAGCGTGTCCATTGATTGGCACTCGGCAGAGAAGATGAGTCCGGAGGATTCTGTGTCGTCCCACAGGAGTCCCCGGTCCCTAGCCCGGCTCCCACGCCCGGCCCCTTCTCCATCTGTTCCCCCCGGCTTCTGCAGAGCCGTGGGGGGGCCTGCCGCTCACATGCCTCCTCCTGCCAGAGGCCCCCCCGCCCCCCCGGGGCGTTTGGTGGACGCCTCCCCGGTCGCGCTGCTGCAGAAAATGTGCGCGGCGTCCGGCCTGGGCCCGCCGCTCTACCAGACGCGCTACAGCGGCACGGGGAGAGATGGATTCCTGCACTTCAGGTACGAGGTGCGCATCCCCGGGGCCCCCGCCACATTCACAGGGCTGCTCATGATCTTGCCGGGACCCACTGCCTCCGTCCTGCGGGAGGCAGAAAGGGCCGCGGCCCAAAGGGTTCTGCTGGAGCTGAACCACAAGCAGGTCGCCGCCTAACGGGCCCTCTGGCTCCGGCCCCGTCCGTCTGTTCGGTTCATTTAGGGTTGCTTTGATTTCTGCATGTTTTTATTAGTTGTAGGGGACTCGTGTGCTGTTTGCCCTTTTGGCTGTGTGTTTTCTGCATGTTTTTTTACTGTGGTGTTCTGAGTTCCTCATTTTAATTAAATGAGCTTTGAAAAGGTTTGTGGACGCCGTTCCTCTAATGGATGAAAGGATGAGCGGGGTGTGGTTATTACGTTTTATCTCTGCGTCTCATCTGGTGCACGGCTTCGGAAGCCATTTTAATAATATCTCAAAGCAAACAGAGGACACCCTGCAGGGTAAACAGCAGTCTGCCTCCCGCCTCGAACTCAAGCAGACACACAGGCTCGTTGAGAACTGGTGGTTTATTTTAGCAGAGTTTCTGAAACAGGCGGGCAGACTTTGCTTTTATTTGCAGTAATCTGTGATCAAAGTAAATGAAAGGACACCAAAATGACCTCCGAATGCTCGATGAGCTACACAGAGATGAACAAACGGAGCTCGCATCTATCAGATGAGCGTTTTACATTTCCCGGGAGCACACTCTGCCTCAGCTCACGGCAGAACGGAGGGATGAGAGGAGCTCCACATGCTCAGCATTTTTCAGGGCTGCACTCGGATCCTATTTGGAGAGAGGACTGGATGAGGAATTCTGTACACCGCAGAGCCACCTGGGTAAAGCGTCATGTTGGAGCTGGACAGAAGGGAGCGATTACGCCTCAGAGGTCCTTTTCTTTATTTCACTGATGAGATCAGCTCGGGATATATCGACCTATGGAGAAAAGGGAAGACAGGAGGCTTTAACCCTGGGATGTAAACACTACTGTGGGCATAAGGTCACACATCTTGTTCTCCTTTCTGAGCCCCGCCTTGTGCAGCAGGGTCCTGAAAGGAGCTTATAAAACAGAACAGCACAGTGATCGGCTCCTGCAGCCTCTCACCTACTGTACCAGTAAATGTGGGGGTGGAGATGCAAACCCCAGTTCAGGTAGCAGGTAAAGAAAGCATTAAAGGAGCTGACAAACGGTAGGAATACCAGCAAATACAACGCCAGACAGGCCAAGTCCCCTGAGGTACCCTCATGCTCTCTTTGTCCGAGACACTCCTAATTATATCTGCCTTTACCTTTCTTTAACACCTGCTACTAAGCAAGAAAGCATGGATTTCACCTTACTAATTTACCCCACCTAATTGATCCTTTTTCAAATCTCAGATGAGATTGACTCGGAAATTCCAGGCCTGCATCTGAAGACTGACTGACAGCAGCGTAAGCTCACATGTTCAGTTCTCATGATTTAAGGACGGGTACATTTCTGTGGAATTAAGACATTTGTTGAAAATGTAGCCTACAGGAACCCATGCACTGTTTCAATAAGATGGGCACCAACACAGAGCCCTGAGGAACTCCGTTCCTGCTTGGAGCTGGGAAACATAGATGGTAACACAGAAGGGGATTTCTAGCTGATGTCTGGTGTTTAACACTGAAAGCAACAAGGTGCGGTCATACCTCTTCTCTGGTGGCCACTACCCGCAATTTGACCACTCCGTCTTTGAGCTCCTGTTCCCCCAGTATGGCCACCAGGGGGATGCCGGACTCCTCGCAGTGCTGCAGCTGGCTGAGCAGTTTGGGGTTCTTCTTGTACATCACCTCAGCCTGGAAAGGCGCAAAGCAGTGAGGTTTCACATCGATGCTGCAACAGTTCCACCAACGTTGGAAGTGTTTGTGGGAAAGCTTTGAGATCTCGTGATTGCATCGAACTAATGAAAATCCGAACATCATACAATCCATTCAGACTACCACTGGGTCCAAAACATGGAGATGCTGGTTTTTGTGTCCTTAGAAAAGAGACCAAGGTTTCACAATCCTGGATTTTCATGGATTCTATATAAATGAGGATGTAAATCTAAGATGCGTTTGGTCAGTGAATCTTTAGTCTTCTGTTTCGCCATACCTTGTTGAAGAATCAGATAAAGGCAGAAGTGTCACAGCTTGCTGACACTCTCCTGCCTTCGTTTTGCCTAACATTAAACATCTTTAGAAACAAACATGTGAAACCCCCCAAAGATTGTCCTGCTGCTGTGAAATCTTTTATACAGGGTGAGGGTACAGGTTACACTCCAGTCTTCCCTGACTCGGTGACTGCCTAAAGACTGGAGCTCTCTTCTGTAAATGCATCTTCCCTCAGCTTTTTCTGGCAGCTTGTGGCCACTTTGTTCTCAGTGCAAACAAATCAGCTTGTCAGGAAGGCTTCTTCAGCATTCTGCATACGGGTGTGATTGAACCCCGACCCGAGGGCAAAAATCAAACGCTGAGCGGGAACAAGATGAACAAGCCTCATGAATCTAACCAAAGCTCACACAAACGCACCTTGATGCCAGCGTTCCAGAGCTCACTGATGAGTCTGAGTTTCTCCTCCAGGAGGTTCTTCTGGGCGGACGCCACCATGACCTGCACCTCTGTCGTGCGGACCCTCTCGGCCGAGGCCTGCGGAACAAAGCGCAGTTACAGCCTGTAGTTCCCAACCAGCAGCCCAGCGGATCCGGCTTCGGCTCCACCTCACCGCGGCCTTCTGCTCCATGATGGAGAAGATCCTCTCGATGCCGATGCTGACCCCCACGCAGGGAACCTTCCTGCCTTTGGGGTCAAACATGCCCACCAGTCCGTCGTAGCGGCCCCCTCCCGCCACGCTCCCCACACTGACGCTCTCCTCCGCGCTGGTGCCGTTCGGGGCCTCGTTTGCAGCCGGGGCCACACCGGCCTGGGACAGCACGGCCTCGTAAATCACTCCTGTGTAGTAGTCCAGCCCCCGGGCCAGGCTGAGGTCAAACACAACCTGGGGATGACGAATTTAAAGAGCGTCTACTATACAGGACAGGTATGGGAAATGTAGAGGGGATGGCTGGGTCTCACCTTATCTGTGACCTGGAACAGCTGCAGGTAGCTGAAGAGAAGTTTGATGTCCGACAGGCCCGCGCACGCCTGCTTACTCTGACACATTTTGGGGTCCTGGAGGAGCTTCTCGGCCAGGTCCATCCCCCCTGCGGCACAGAGAGCATCCTACTGAAAGCAGTGCCTCCACATGGCGGATCCAGGTCCAGTGGTCCTTCATTTGGCTTGGTTCTGATGGAAAAGCCGGCGCTAAAACACTGGAAGGATCAAACCAACAGGGTTCTGTGCCGTGTGGGCATCTGAAGCCTCCGTTTCCCCCCTTTGGCTGGAGCCGCCTGCGTCTGGTGTAGAGGTCTCACCCTTCATGCTGACGTACTCCCCGATCTGGTCGGCGGCCTCCTCCGACAGACCCTTCTCGTTCACCATCTCTCGTTTAACCTCCTCCCAGGGCATCTGCAGCAGAAGCAGCACAGAGGGGTCGGCTCACAACAGCATGGACGTCATGACAAAAGACAGCTGGCTGAATGAAGACCTGCTCTAGTGCCATCTACCTTATTTTCCGCATTATAGGGTGCATAGAGTAGAAGCTCAGAAGTAGAAGTGACGTGGTGTTTTCCTGACAGTTTATCTTTTAACAACAACAATGTTTAATAGGTCGTGCAACATTTTTATCACGTAGTGGAGGGGAACTTTTCCTCCATTCAGTTAACACAAAAACATTCTGATACAGTTACGGTAAATCACAATATGGTAGCTCTCCAAATTATGGAAATGAAAATGCACGCTTCGCGCAGTCGCATAACCCAGCATGCACTGGGCGCTGCCTCTTCTACGGGATAAACTGGAGTCGGCGGCTGCCTCCCGTAGTTGCGAGACCATCCTGATCCATACTTAAGGCGCGCCGGATTATGAGGCGCAATTGAAGGCTTTTAAGGTGCGCCTTATAGTGCGGAAAATACGGTACTTCCCAATTCATTATTCAGACAAAAAGGAGGACACTCAACACTTTCATCCTGTCTGGTTTTTAGCTGTGCTGCTAATCTCTCAGCAGACACCAGTTATGACCGTGAGCATGTCCTGTAGACCCCCCCAGAGGGCACCGCACGTGAAAAGTCTGGCTCAGATTTGCGCTGCTAGTCAATAGAAATTATAGCAAATGCCGCAAAGTGTGGTGGCTACCTTATCTAGTTTGTCCACTGTTGAGCAGATGGTGCGAAACTTGTCGTCCGGGACTCCGCACACGGCGAACATCCCATCCAGGATGCGTCTGTCGTTGACCTGGAGGGAGGGGCGTTTTCAGAGGTGACGTCATCGGGGCAGAGCGGCGACCCGGCCGGACTCACCCGGACTCACCCACCTTGATGCAGAAGTCCCCGAGCTCCAGCTCGCTGAGGATTTCGTAGACGATCTTCAGACACTCGGCGTCTGGGATCATGGCGTCGTACTGACCCGCGATGTCAAAATCCTGGAACGCAGACCAAAGCAGAGCCTCAGATTCCTCCCCCCGCTCACAGGATAAAGCCGGAGACTCGTCCGGGGACTCACGCATTGGTAAAACTCTCGGTAGCGCCCGCGGGTCATTGCCGGGTTGTCGCGGCGATACACCTTGGCGATGTGGTAGCGCTTGATGTTGGTTATCTTGTTCATGGCCAGGTAGCGGGCAAAGGGCACCTGACAGCGGAGGTCAAGGGAACGAGCCGTTTGCATCCATTCTGTCCTCAGTATGCGAGAGTCCCCACACACACAAAAAAAAACACACAGACACACTAGTGCTGCTGCCATTAATCGATGTCATCTCTACATTTAAGAGTAAGCCCAAGACTTTCCTTTATGATAGAGCTTATAGAGTGAGTCCACCCCTAGTTATGCTGCTATAGGCCCAGACTGCCGGGGGATTTTTCATAATGCACCAAGGTTTTATGGTACTTTTACTTGAATGCATTTGCAATTTTGTAAAATAGAAGAAATTATCTAATTTTATTGCACTTTATTTTATTAAATTTTATTTTATTTATTCAATATTTATTTTATTTATGTTATGTTTACTTTTGACACGGGTGACATTTTGTTTTGGCCTTTGAGTTGCGAAACCTCAAAATTACGTAAAAAAAAAAAAGTCAAATGAAATGGCAATCCCTTGATTGTTTGGGGAAATGAGTCATTAAGATTAGTCGACTAATCGAAAAATTTGTAGAAAGATTTGTCGTTAGAAAATGAGTCGTTAGTGGCAGCTCTAACACACACACACACACTAGGCTACAGAAAGCAGGATACAGTGAGGTCGTATCTGAGGGAGAGCAGCTCTCCGCCTTGGTCTTTCAGGTCATAGATGAGCTTGGAATCTTCTCCATACTTCCCCGTCAGCGTTTCCTGTGGCAGCAGAGCGAAAGTTCACCTCCGTGTTCGAGGGCCGGCTGGCGACAGCCTCGGTTCCAGAGGAAAACGAGGGCAGACCTACTTTTAACTCAAAAACGGGCGTGTCGATGGTCTCTGCTCCGTGGCGCTTAAAGCAGCTGACGATGGTGTTGAAGACCTTCTCCCTGATGGCCATCTGCTTGGGGTTGTAGTCCCTTGTGCCCTGCCAATGACACACAGGTTCCAGCAGCTGTGATGAGTGTGTGCTGACTCACTACAGACTTTTGGTTTCCCCGTAAAGGCAAACAGAGCAGCAGAATCAGGAACAGTAAAAGGAAAGCCGAGGAGACAAAGTAGGCGTTACAACAGGAAGAAAAGGTGCCTCCCACTTGCTAAAAATGATTCAAAAATCATATTTTTAAGTGCTCTTAAATTGTGGAAGGGGAAATCTCTAAATGCCAATTCCCAGAAAGGGGACGGCATATGTTCAGAAAACTGTCTAACTGTATAACTAAACTACAGCTAGAGAAAAAAGGGTTGTTTTTCCCTCTTAACACTGATTTAAGATAGACTTTATTGATGACAGATCAACTGGATGAGAGGTAGGAGCTTCAAAGGCTATGACCTCTCCACATACAACAATGTCTTTACTGCTGATATGGAACCCAGCAAACCACTAGAGTTGGTACAGTTTGAGAACAGACCACATAGAGAACTATGCTCATCATTACACCGACAGCCTTTTCACGAGTTAGTTGTTTCCCGTTGTGGTGCTCTGAGTTTGTGGCCGAGGACGGCGTTTAAACTTCCAAAGTTCCTGTATCTGTAGGAGGCTCTGGGTCCAGAACTGAGTGAGCTGCTTGTCTAAGCCCATCCTGTTGATAACACCTTCATTCTTCATGTTTATGTTTCTGCATTTAGACGCTTTCATCCAAAGTTATCAATTTGACAACAAGCTCTCTAGAGGAAAATCCCTAGTCAGTCAGTGGTGACAGCAAAGGGATAGAGGGAAGCACAGAGAGGAGTAGAGGGGGTATAGAGGTATGGGGAAGAGTTAGGATAGGTGATCTTTGAAGAGGTGGGTCTTTAAGACAAAAACAGAAGTGAGAGAGGAGGCACGTCCGTGGACTCGTACCTTTGGCGTTTTGAGGACAAACTGATGCTTTCCATCGTCTCCTCCGAGCCGGGCCTTCAGCTCCAGCAGCTTGGCCACCTCTTCATCGATCTGCAACCACACAAGCCCCCGTCTTCAGAGCCATGGCGGGGGAGACCCCAACTCCACCCCAACCAGGCCCTGCCGCCGGACCCACCTGAGCCGCAGAGATCCCGCGGACAGAAGGCAGCCAGTGGACACGCGTAGACGTCCCCAGGGCCGTCAGGACCGAGCACAGCCGGACGCAGGACGCCGTCCACATGGCCGCAGCAGGCGGGGGAGAAAAAAAAAGGGGGGGCAACGGTCCGGAAATCGGGCGAGCAAAGGTTTAGGAGTGCATGTCCGGCGGCGTTGTCCGGCCGATGGCAGAAGCAGGGGGAGCGGCGGTCCGGCAGAGGTCCCCAGTTAGAGGCAGGGCGGGGCCCAGGAAGAACAGGAGAAAAGTGGTAAGCAACCCTGTCACTAGGGGGGGGGGGGCGGGGCGTCATCGCCACGGCGTGGAGGATAGAACACGAGATGCATGTGTCAGTCAGGTATCTGCCCACACACACGCTCACACACACGCTCACACACACACGGTATCTACTCTGCCCCCACTCAGATGTGCTCGCCATGACGCCGTTTAGATGGTTTTCCATCAGAAATGAGCCCATGGCGTCCTGTGTATGCAGCAACCATGAACCGACTGAGCCCCGGTGTTGGACCGTGGTGTTGGGTGGTGTGTTAGGCGGCGTTTTGGGGGTTTTCAACATCGATGAGCACAGGAATAACAGAACGTTTGACATTGCCGTCATTTAAAAGTATTTCATTTGAAGGAGTTGCTTCCATGACTCATCAATTCACATGACTCATGACTCCATGGTAAAGTCTGCCATCAGCCCAGTAAGCCTGCTGGGAGCCCAGTAGGTCTTCAAATCCCAGCTGCTTTGAGGCACCTGCCCCCTTTGTGGAAATAAAGTGAAGCTGAGCAGGTTCAAATGGAAAACTCCACGGGCTGGAACGCCGGGAGTTGCTGTGGCTTTCCAAAACTACACCTTAACATTAACACGATATCTGGAGGAGACTTAAGATGGAGTCCTCCATCTGAGTTCGGTGGGTTGTAGGGATATATTTGCTCATCTCTGGTGATAGAGATTTAGATCTGAAAATGATTTCTTTCATTATCTAACACTTATCCACTTCCAGTTGGAGTCGTGTTTCAGTAGCTTTGTGAATAGTGTCATATTACAGATGTCTATCAAACATCTGGGGGTTTCATCATGTGTGCCAATCAACGTTGTTCATGCCCCATACACTGACCAACACCAGGGTCCAGCACCCGCGTTCAGCCGGCACATCGTTGCTCTGATGTCCTCGTTGCCTTCTGGTTTTTGTGTTGCATAAAAATGACTTCATGGGTCCTTGGCCCATGTGAGGACTGAATCAGAACTCAACTGCTGGTTTCCAGGTGCCTGCTGATGCACCTGCTTAAACATGTAAAAACCGAATAGTAAATCTGCTTCTTATCTGCCATGTGCTTTGAAAAGGGCTCCTACTTGTTATATCTTAGGGTGGCTGTGACTATCTTATGCCATACTCACACATCCAAACATAAACAGAACAAAATTTAAGCATCACATCGATTTGGAACTGAAAAGCTCAGAAATGACACTAACAGCTTTTCACCGTCCTGGAAACAGCATTTGTGACTCTTATCTTTGGCCACAGTCCTTATTAAACACCTTTATCAAACACATTTAAAACCTAACAGACGCTAGCATTTAGCCGGAGGCGGGCAGTCGGACCGTGTAGCGGGCACGCGGCCGCTCTGGGGGCGGCACGCGCAGCGCACCGTGACGTCTCTGTGAGTTAAGGAGGCGAGTTATTGCGTCAGCTCTGTGGTTTAACCGTGACTCTTAATGCAGGTAATTACGGGCTTTGTTTTGGAGCCGTTACATAGTTTATTGGCCTTTAAAACGTCCCACCAGACAGTGTGTCCCGTCGCCTGTCGCCGCTTTAGCCCAAGGCGTTAGCACTAGGTGTTAGCACTAAGCGTTAGCACAGCTGGCTACACCGTATAGATACAGTGGCTCCACCCGGGTAACCACGGGCCAGAATGAGATATAAATGAAGGTAACATCTTCCGAGGCGGCTGCTCTGTTTTGGGCACCGGTAATAACCGTTAGAGATGCTAGGTTTTGCTACTGTCAGCCGCTGGCTGCTAACTAAAGAGAAACACATCGCTTGTTTTCAGCTGAAACGACGGCCGTGTGAAAGGGAGAGAAAACGCCGCTTCTCCTCAGGTTAGCGGGACGCCTCGCAGACCAGCCTGCTTCGTACAGGAGCTGACACGGTCCCCGTTATTCTCAAATAAAGCCGGTGTGACGCTAACCGCATGCTACCAGCCGAGTGTTGTGTCAGGTCAGCATACCCCGACAGACCAGCGTGCCCGTAGTCTAACACCGGCTTCCACACGAACGTAGGTGCGAAACACGATCACTGACCTGCTCTTTGTTCGCCTTCTCGGATTTCAACTTCCGAACAATTTCCCCTTGACTTTTAATGGCCTCTTGAATCTGAGCCTTGTCGTCCATAGCTTTTCATTTAGTTTGTTCTGTTGCTAATCACACAGCCTGACACCCATGGCATGGATACACGGAACCGCTGCGGCTGTCAAGCTAGAGGTGAATTAAAGCGGAAGCGGAAGTACACGTGACTTCCGATTAGTATTTTCAAGCTAATGGCCCCAATGACGTCGTTCAGGCAATATTAGACATACTGTATATACATGTGTTTACGTCTATGGTTGTGGGGCAAAAAGCAAGGTGCTCATATTTAATGTCGATTCCCCACTTGTGTCAGCTGTCGTCAGGATAGAACGAACCAAAGTGAAGGAACAAGGAATGAACATATTCCTGCTTATTTTGGTCTTCAATACATTTAGTCAATAATTGAATGATATACTATTTTAAATGTCCTCTGACATTTCCACATGTGACTTTAAACATGGGTTAAACCAAACACCTTCCTGTTCAAACAGGGGCCAAATGTAAACACAATCAAAGTCCACCTCAGAGAAGCCAACAGACCGAGCTTCAGGGCTTTTGTGAGTATCACTGATTATTTCCATTCGCATAAAAATTATCTTCAAATGAGGTGGTGTGTAAGGCAGTTTTAAAAGTGTGTCAAACAATTTACTTTAATCAGTTTCAACTGTCACTGCTTTAGTGGTTTGTGGTTGCAAAAGGGAGTCTGGCCTGTTTTTGCCAGGAAACTAGCAGAAAGAATATCAGCAAGGAGACTCCCTTAAAGTTACAATGCTCAATCCAACAACTGATTCATGTGTGAGCAAGGTAAGAAGCAGCTGTGTTGGCAGTCAGCTAGCCTGGAGATAAAACTGTGAGGACAGGAGCTGGTGTTTGTGCAGTCACTTGCATATTAAGCACTGTATCTGAATAGAACATCAACCTCTAAAAAAGAAAGTATAGAGATGTAATCTACTCCGACTTCCCCTTCTTTGCATTTGTTTACTTATAGTAAAAAATTTGGTGCACCTTTTTTCAAATCTAATGTTCAATATACTCTAACCATTTTGTCCATAGAAACATAATCTGGAAATCACCACAAATGAAAATGAGGTTAATCTGAGCTCAAATGAACAGCACGTTTACACTGACATAAGATTAAATGTAAGGCCTTTTTCCAAAGTGGAAAAAAATATTCACAGGTGGAAAACACTCAGGACAGTTGTTAATTGTCCCAGCAGGGTCAGCCTGAGATAAAAAAACCCAAGAGCTAGATCTCACACTCGACTGGCCGCACTTAGCATGCTAATGGTTAAAAGTCTGGAAAGAAAAAAAGAGAGAACAAGTATGGCTTCTTTAGAAAGTTAGCAAACTAAAAACTCTTTGTGCCTCAGCACAAACACCGCATTCCAGCTGCCAGCACAGCCGGCTAGATACTGTAACATAAACCTTTTTTATGGACTGAATTCATTCTAAAGGCATCATAAGTTACAGTAATGGGGATTTGAGCCGGTTCTGCAACCACAGGATCTCTTTGCTACAGCTCAATTCATATTAATCCTGTTAATTTAGGTCCAATTGGACCTTAGTGTGAGTGTGCGTGGTTGTTGGTCCTTGTGTGTCTCTGTGTGGCCCTGCGATGGACTGGAGACCATCCACTCTCGCCCATTGACTACTGGGATAGGCTCCACGACCCCATAAGGGAATAAGCGGTTACGATAATGGATGGATGGACGGATCGCTTTCATCTTAAAATTTAGAAACAATTCCTCCACATCTGAAAGGTTCATCCTTTTTTAATTCTTTCTGCCATGCCTTCTTTGCCATAAGGGGGAACAGCCAAAATTAACGACTGCAAACTCGACGGCCACCCAGATAAATCGCCATGGAGCTGTCCCCGCCTCCCTCCGGCCTGGAGGCAGAATATGCTGCACTCTTCACCACTGACTGTCTCCACTTCCTGCACGACCTGATCTCCACATTCGACGAGGAGGTGGATCAGGTAGCAGAAATAAAAAAAACCTCTTTTCATGGACCGAATTCCCTCTAAAGGCATCACGAGTTACAGTATCCACCCTTATCTTTCTCTCTCTAGATCCTTCAGCTGAGAGTGTCCAGAAAGGCCCACTTGGACCTTTCGGGCGAACTGCCGAACTTCCTGGAAAGCACTGCGCATATCAGGACCGATCCAGGCTGGAAGGTGCTTCCCGTCCCCGTCAGGCTCCAAAAGAGGCATGTGGATATTGGGGATATGGCCCCCTGTGACACTCAGCGCTTCATCAGAGCTCTACAGTCACCGGCGCAGGGCATACAGGTACCCTATCATCCTTCAAATCCTAAATAAATATGTACGTACAAACCCAGGGAGCTGATCTTCCTGATGCCTGGGCTTTGAGCTCACTATCGACTCCTCCTTCATAATTCCAAACCAGTCGGCCTCTATTCAGCTACTGTTCTAGTGCCGCTATAATCCTCTCCTCAGGTCGACTTCGATGACGGGAACTGCCCCACATTTTACAACCAGATCAAAGGCATTCATAACGTCACGCGGGCAGCGAACAACCAGTTCCCGGGTGAGTCCTTCACTCCAGGATCCTCATATGTGTACAACAACATATTTGTGGATCCAATAGGAGTGCCTGTACTGTCGTTGCTCTGAGCTTTGCTTCTCTTTCGCCTCTCATCGCGAGAGCAGGCGTTCCCCGTGTATCCGAGGCTCCGGTGCTGATGCTGCGTCCCCGTGCGTGGAACATGGTGGAGCACAACATGATGGTGATGCATCTCTCTATTTCAGTTGACTTTATCCATTCAGGGCTGGACTTTTTTTTCATACATTTAGTTTGAATTCTGTTTAATTTCCAAAGTATTATATATTATCAATTCATTTTTGAATTTGTCAGTCCCACATCATACAGATATCATAGACTGAAAAGGTCACTTCAAACTTCATGGCACAGAAAAGAAGCCTTAGCTCGGGTCCTTTCCTAGCCAACCTTTTCTTATTTTGGCCTTAAATTGAATAGAAAGGGTGCACCAAATTTGTCCGTAAACGGAGTCTAAAACTGATCAGAACTTAATAGAATCAAGCAACAGTCTTTTCATTTTCTAAATAAATAAAGAAATAGCTCATAGGTAGTTGTGGACGTTTCCTGTCTTCTTCCAACAGGTGGAGGGGAAGGTGGCTCCTGGACCTCTCTTTGACTTCGGACTTCTCATGTTTCACTGTGGGCAGACATTGTTCCAGCAAAAGAGTGGACCTTTTTTCTACCTGTCAAAAGTAATACACACACACACACACACACACACACACACTCACGCGCACACACGCAGGCCGAAACGATCACAGGACTGAAATTAAGTCTTTTCAACACCTGAGTGTATATTTGTGAGGAGGCCATTTTCAGGATTTTCATGCAAAAATTTTCTATACCTACTTTTTCCAATTCTCGGCTTCGAATTAACAAACATGCATGTTTTTTTATTTGTGAGAGGAAGCTGCATTAACATGCATGCTCATGCTGTGAGGCGTGGTGCTCGCAAACACGTTCTTTAAATGTCTTCTTAAGTTATTTGGTCAGCCGGCAGCAAAACTGAATTTGAGCAGAATTTAATCTCAGTGCACTTTCATATGAATAATTACACTAATGGAGCGCAAGAGCCACACAAAACAAGCAGAATGTCCATTTAGTTTTCAAATTCTGATATTTTGATTGGTTTCTAGCTCTAGAGCACCAAGAATAAAAGAGTTGTCAGCCTTCTGGTAGTCAGTCCAGGAGTCCCTGTTTGTCTCCATTGAGAGACTTATCTTGTGTTATATTGTATCTTGTTTAAGCATCTCTGGGGGCACACAAAGAGAGTTTGATGCAAAGTTGCAAAGTTTAGGAAGAAATGAAGAAGGAAAAGATGCAGAGGGATAGTCAGTTACCTCTATGTTTGGTTCATTTAGTGAGATGTGCTGTCCTAAACAAACAGACAGGCTTGACCTGGCTAAATATATGTGGTGCACGGCCATATGAGTCATCTGGGAAACATCTTGTGTTTCTTCGTCTGATGTGGGCTTTAGTTTTGCTTTCCTTCTCGCAGGTGGAGAGCTTCACAGAAGCCAGGCTTTGGAACAAGATATTTGTCTGGACACAGCAGAAGGTCTTTATTTTCAGTACATTTGTTTGAATAGAAACGCCAGCGTTTCATCAGATGAGCTTGGGTTTTTTTACTCAGTAATTAGGTTTCCATTCGTTTAAACCCACATAGTTTACCAAGCCTGACAAAACACCAAACACTTTGTTGATAAAGTGAGAAAGCACAACTCAAAAGTTTGAATGAGCACACGTAACCAAGCGTATGAGTGTGTGTTTGTGTGTAGCTGGGCCTTCCTCTGGGGAGCATCAAGGCAACGGTGCTGATTGAGAACGTGCTGGCCGCGTTTGAGATGGAGGAGATCCTCTACGAGCTGCGGGAACACTCGGCAGGGCTCAACTGCGGCCTCTGGGATTACTCTGCGTCTTTTGTCAACAAGTTTGGTGAGGCTCATGCTCTCGCGGTTAGCAAAGCGCACACCCTACCCCCAGCCCAGGCTCTCCCGGTCAGAGAGAGGGGCTCATTGTGCCGAGAGTTTTTAAAAGTCCGCTGCTCTCCGTCCAGGTCACCGCCGGGCCTTCCTGCTCCCCGACCGCAGCAAATACGTCAACATGGAGAAGCGCTTCCTGCACAGCTACATGGACCTGCTGGTCCAGACGTGCCATCGGCGGGGGGCGCTGGCCACGGGGGGCATGGCCGCTCTGCTGCTGCCTCAGGGAAGGCACTCGGACTCCCACGGGAGAGTGCTGGCCTCCGTGAAAAGGTTCCGGCAGCTCTGGATACTTGCATTCCTGTTTGTGTTCCTGCGTGAAGCTAACAGTAACCGGGCTTTATGGCTGACGGAGTCTCATACACTATTCATTCATGTTTCCGTTATCGTAACCGCTTCTTCCCTAATGGGGTCGTGGGGGGGACTGGAGCCCATCCCAGTAGTCAATGGGCGAGAGGCGCGGTACACCCTGGACGGTCCACCAGTCCATCACAGGGCCACACAGAGACACACAAGGACTAACAACCACACACACTCACACTAAGGTCCAATCAACATAAAATGCAGGTTTTTGGATGGTGGGAGGAAGCCGGACAACCCAGAAAGAACCCCCGCAGACACAGGGAGAATATGTAGACTCCACCCAGAAAGGTCCTGGTTCCCCCCGGGACTCGAACCCAGAACCTTCTGGCTGTGAGGAGATGGTGCTGACCACCCCACCATCTGAATGAAATCCAGTTCTGAGAACACTCAAGATTACATTAAGACATAACAAAATCACGGTAAAAAGTTTCAGTGTTTTAAACAACATTGAGCAAAAGAAGATCAATTCATGGCCAATTCAGCTAAATTAAAATGTTTCTTTTGCCATATTGGAACCCTGGTGGCAACACTGTTAGTGACTGGAGTTCAGGCTCACGTTCACAAACGCCGGCTGGCTCATCTCTCCCACCTTTCAGGCTGAAGATGCTGGAAATCCAGGCAGGTGTCGATGGCTTCATGGTGTACGACCTGAATCTGGTCCAGCCCATGCAGGAGGTAAAGTCCGAGCGCTTCGTCCTCCATCTTACCGCGTCTGTTAGTTCCTCCTGCTGTTTCTGGGAAGTCCCACCACAGATACTCGTTCCATCCGATAACCCTTCTGTTCGTTACCAAAAGGGTTTGCATCACCGACCGATCTGAACCGAGGTCCTTGTCTTCCAGCTCTTCAGAACCCACACTGAAGCCGATAACCAGCTTCACCAGCTTCGAGAGGACGTGTCGGTGACTCCTGAGGACCTGCTGTCCATGCCCTCGGTCAGTCTCTCCGTTTCCCATTAACCGACACAACGCCTCGTCCCTAAATAGTGCATTAAGCCTGCTGACCGCTGGGGAATTCGGGAGAATTCCTACATGACGGCAGTACGAGGAAAGGAACTGGGTCAACAAAGGCACCCGCCCCCTAAGCAGCTCCAGCCCCAGCAGTGAAGGAGGGTTATGTATGTTTCATACTGCGTTCCTCTGCAGGGAGGAGTCACCCTCTATGGTTTGAAGTACAACATCGCAGTAGGTGTCCTCTTTATCGACGCTTGGCTCTCAGGTGAGTACAGAACTGGGTTGGGGGGCCCGGTGCTCCAAGGCTGGCTGCCGAAAGACTGTCTGTTTTTCAGGGAAAGGCCACTTCTTCTTCAGGGGACAGGTTGAAGATTCAGCCACGGCAGAGATCTCCAGATCCCAGGTGCATTTAGAGTTATACACGAGTCACAGGAAAGATGAGAGTTCTCTCGTTCACCCACCAATGAGTTTATTCTTATTTTGGAAATTCCCAACACACTTGAAAAAGACCATGAACAGGGATTAGCATAATTAAATCAAATTCTAATCCACAATTTCCCACTTTATAATAGACGTCCGTTTACAATTGTCCTGAGAAACTCCCAAGATTCTTCATTTACTCAAACTGGAATATGTTGGACAAATCTGACTTAAAGTATCCGTAACCATCCCAATAATCCAGATAACATGATGTTAGCTGGCACCAGTGATACCAAACACAGGACTGAGATCCACCAGAACCAGCAGACACAAGTCTGTCTAAACTTGTTTTAGAAGTCGCCATTGGCAGCCGGTAGGAAGATGCTGGGGAATAGTGGAAGACGGTCGTTTGAATCTCTGTCCTCACAATTTCAATCAAGAAACCTCCTGAGAACCAAAGGAACTTTGACTGGGTTTCTGCAAACCACAGATGAGCGTACAGGACCGGGTAGTCCAAAGGCCAAAAGAAACCTGGCAGCACAGGAGTGAGCCGGAGCCAGAGGAGGGTTAGGCCTTTCCTCACCGTTATACTGTGTTTGGAAGGTGTGGCAGTGGATCCGCCACCAGGCCCGGCTGGAGGACGACAACAGGGTGGTGAGCAGGCGGCTGGTGACCGACCTGGCCAAGGAGCTCACCACGGAGCTGTGTGCCCGCCTTCCCTCAGCGAGGTGAGCCAAACCACCGGACGCCTCAAAACCTGAGGTTCCTCCGTGGTTCTCCGCCTCAGGATGTCCCTCACACCCCGCCTGTCCTCCTCAGGGCCCGGCAGAGGCTACACACAGCAGCCCACGCGTTCCTGGAGGTGGTCCTGAGGAGACACTTCCCCGAGTTCATCACCTCCCACCTCTACCAGCACCACGCCTTCCTCATCTCCCAGGAGACCAGGCAGGGGGCGGCTCCGGACGGGGACAGGCAGCCGGCCAAGCTGTAGGACTTCATCCACAACACCTGCTCCAGGTGAAGCGGGGAAAAGGCAGTGGCCAGTCAGGACTCAACCTTCTGCTTCGTCATTTTAACAAATAAAAAAGGCGCTTTTTCCGGAGTGTCTGAGACAGGCAGTGGTGTTGATATACGGCGGCAAACCTCTTTACTCTGTATAGAAATGTTCCACAAGTGCCAGCTGGAGACAGAAGTCCACCACTACAGAGGCCGGCTCCAAATGGGAGAGTTTTATTTATTTCCAGTGAGGGAAAAAGGTGAGGGTTCAGCTGGGTGTCGCTTTGGCTTAGCTCGTGTTTCGGTGTGTTTGTAAAACCGGTGTGTGGAAAAGCAAACGGGAGACAGCGGAGGAGGAGGAGGAGGGGGAGGGGGGCCCCCGGCGTCGCCCTGAGGAGGAAGCACAGCCACATCACCAGCACTACCACAGTGGCACCCATTGGTTTTGCAAACATCGTTTTATTATCCATTTGTCAGTTTGTAATATATAAATTACTTTTAAAAACGTGAGAAGCAGATGCGCCTACAAGAAGGACATGGCGTGAAAACACGAGAGTCTTAGAAAACCTAGACTGTGTTTTACAGGAGCCATCTCAGCCATCCAAAATCCACTCCTCCCACAATCCTTTGTCTCCCCAGGCGAGACGCTGGGCGGCAGGCGGGCTGCGGACACGGCCTGCTGCTATTGTTTTCAAAAAGTGAAGTGGGCCGGTATCCCTTCCCGGTGCTCCTGTGGTTCTCGGTCCATCCAGATCAGTGCAATGTGGGGGGGGGGGGGGGGGGGAGGGTGACTCACAGCAGCCAAAGCCCAGGAACTGGAGGGGGGGGGGGGGCGGGCAGGCATTGGGGGGGAGGGAACGGCTCTGTTGGTGGACTAAGGCGTCTGGCAGCGTGCGAGCACCTGCTCCTCTTCCTCCCTCGGGCTGCGGGCTCACATCTCGTTGGCCGTGTCGTCGTGCTCCCCCGCCGACAGGTCGCCGTTGGCGCTGATGGCGGTGCTGTTGTCCTGGTGGCCCGGGGGCATGAAGGCCAGGCAGTAGGGGTACATCTTTTGGCAGGTGGCCCGGTAGGCCTCGGCCGCCTTCTGTTGGCCCTCGCCCAGCTGGCCCTCCCGCAGAGCCTCCAGGACCTCTGTGCAGATCTACACACACACACACACACTCGTGACCCTCAGTGGAAACGTGTGCGACATGCTAATTAGGCTTGTCCCGATCAGATATTTAGATTGACAGCCGATATCCGCAAAAAAATGCGTATCGGCCGGCAGGCGAAAATGCCGATCCAGTTTTTTATTTTAAAGTCCGATCCCACATTAGCATCTCCTAACCCACAGGTCTGTGTCCTAACCATTTAGTTGTTATCAGAGTAAATCCCTGTTCAACATGAGTCTGACAACTAAGTCACAAGGCTAAATAACTTCAAACCTTAATACATGCTCTGATAGGCCGGGATGAGTATCAGATCGGAAGTGAAAAAAAGCTGGATCTGGACATCCCTACTGCTTATGTTGGGCCTACCTGGATGCTTCTCCCGGTCAGGGACTCGTCCAGAGCCGTGGCTATCTCGCAGGCCATTTTGTCAGAGGAGGGCTCCAGGTAAACCATCATCTTAGCAGCTGGGGGGGGGGAACAAGACAGATGCGGGGGCCATCAGGGTACAGCACGGATAGCGTCAACCGCCATCAGGGTACAGCCATAACCAGCTCCAGCCAGAACCAGCCCTGTGCAGCTCAAGGCAGGGTGAGTCTGCCCTCTGCCTGTGTGTGTGCGTGTGTGTGTGTGTGTGTGGTTTACCGGCCAGGCGGTGCGGGATGGAGCCGGAGTGTTGGCTAAGGAAGCTCTTGTTGAAGCTCCGGGGGTTGCTCTCCCCGAACAGCCTGCAGATCTCCTGCTTCAGCACCGTCCTCACCGCCTCGGCCAGGTCGCTGCTCTCGCTCACTGCGGACAGGCAGAGCCCAGACGGTCGTCTACGGGTGTGTGTGTGTGTGTGCGACATCCCCGTCGGCGGCCCGGCTCGTGCCTCACCTCCTCTGAAGAAGCGGACCAAGCACTGGTGCAGCCAGGGGTTGGAGGGCTCTATGAGCACGGCCCTCTTTATGGACTGCAGCATCAGCAGGTACTTCTCTGAAATGAGACAAAACCGTCACCCTTCTGGGTCCTGCTGTCTGATGAACAACAGGAATTACCACCGGGGGCCAAAGAAAACGAGCCGACGTAGAGGCGTAGCGACCTGACCTTTCCTGAAGTAGATTTCAAAGGCCAGCAGGTGGGTCTCGATCTTATTGCGCACCAGGTTTTTAAGGGGAATCAGGAACTTGACGGCCTCTTCCAAAGGATTCTCTGGCTGGTGAGACAAGAGTTCCCACACGTTCTTTTACGACTCGTTACCCCCGATGCCGGTGACCAGCCGGCCGAATCGTCAAGCCTCACCTTGGCTAACTTCTCGGGCACGAGCTCTTCCTTCGGCCCTCCTATCTCCTCGTCGTCGTCCTCCTTCTTCTTCTTCTGATTCTTTAGCTGCTTCTCCTTCTCAGCGTTTTTCTTCTCTTCCTCCAACTGGGCCTTCTTCTGAGCTCGCCGCTGTTTGTTGCGCAGTTTTTTCAACTCCTTGTCTGTGAGGTTTTCTAAAAAAATGTTTTTAAAAAGAAAATTAAAAAGAGGTTTTGGTTTTAAAAACCCATTTAACCCAGGAGTCAAACCCAGAACCCAACGGGAACCCCCACCACCCTGGTATCTCCTACAGAGATTCTGGGATCTCTTAACGGGAGGTTTCTAGTGAGGCAGGCTCACCGGTGTCGGCCTGGCTCTCCTTGTTGTCGTCCTTCAGGGGTTTGTCGTGGAGGGCCAGGTAGATCTGGATGGCGCTCCGAGCCGCCTTGTAGTAGAAGGGGTGCTGCCGCAGGACGTCCTCCAGCTTCAGCAGGTCCACGTAGGAGCGCAACGTCATCTTCCTCATGCAGTACGTGTGGAAGTCAAACTGGTCGTCGGTGATCTCCACAAAATGCTGAAAGAGGGGGAGGAGACGGTCAAATCCCCACCAGCTGCCGGCCTCAGGCGGTCGGTCCACAACAGGGCTGACCGTCTCTGTGGACGTGGGAGAACTCACCCGCTCGATCTCGTGGCACTTCTTCAGGGCCTCGCCGAGTTTGCTCATGGCCTTGTAGGCCAGAGCACACTCCGTCTGGAACCACATGCACTGCATCTCGTTCAGGTTCTCCACGGCGGACGTCCCCTCCTGAAACACCAACCGGGAGTGAGCGGAGCTTCTAAGTGGACCACATCTGTGCAGAGGCCCCGCAAAGGCGGCCATCCAATGACCGCATAGGTGCGTCCTGCCCCCATAATGTTCCCACCGAATCCAGAAGTCTTTTCTCAGTCTAAACGCTTCAACCAGATAGAGTAAATAGTCATTAACGTGTCCATTTCAGCAATTTACTCTTGTCCACAGATTCCTTAGAATTCAGCTTGCTGTGTAAATAAACTTAGGGGGTGGTTAACACCATCGCCTTACAGCGAAAAGGTCCTGGGTTGGAGTCCAGGGGGAACCAGGACCTTTCTGTGTGGAGTCTGCATGTTTTCCCAGTGTTCGTGGGTTCTATCCGGGTTCTCTGAGTTCCTCCCACCATTCCAAAAACCTAAAATGTTAGCTTGGTTGGACATTACAAATTGCCCTTGGAGTGAGTGTTGGTCCTTGTGTGTCTCTGTGTGACCCTGCGATGGACTGGTGGACCGTCCAGGGTGAACCCGCATCTCGCCTATTGACTACTGGGATTTGCTCCAGTCCCCCGCGACCCCATTAGGGAATAAGCGGTTATGATACTGGATGGATGGATATTTTTTCTAGTAGTTCAGTTTCTCAGATGTAACACATAACATCTGTTCCTTATTTCATTTCAAAATGCTCTTGTAGCCCCTCAGACTTTTCTGAAACCTAAACGTTCAACTCCCTCTGGCCTCTGCTTGGGGTTGGGGGGGGGGGCAGGCCTACCCGTGTGAACTTGGAGCACATCTCCTCGGCCTCCTTGACCAGGCCGGCCTTCAGCATGTACTTGGCGCACTTGGAGTTGATGAAGCGGTCGGCGGTGTCCAGCGCCTGGGCCTCGTCCATCCACCGGGCCGCCTCTTTGATGTTGCCTGCGTGCTGCGGGGAACACAAACGGGTCAGTGGGGGGGGGGCACAAACATACCGCCATGCCGTCTGTGGACGCGTGCGCTGGTACTTACCTTGAAGATCTTTGCCTTGATGAGGAAGAGCTCGATGAGCGTGGGGGTGCTGTCGATGGCGCTGTTGATGTAGTCCAGGGCCAGGCTGGGCCGGTCGATGAAGTCAAAGTGCTGCGCCAGGAAGTACTGGACCCACAACAGGGTGGTGGGGGGCTCCTCCTTCCCGTCGTCTGCACACACGGGGAACGTTGGGCCTCCTTTGTTACGGCACTGAGCGGAACAGGGGAGTGGAGGGGCACTTACCGTTTTCACTAAACATCTGGCAGCTTTTTAAACAGCTCTCGTAGCCAACCACTAGGTCTTCGATTATGTACACCTGCGTGGGACGAAAGCAGTTGCCAACTGTCAGGGTGGGTGGGTGGAGTGGGGGGCTTTTTCGTCCGGCAGCTCGCCATACTCGCCTTTGATTTGTCTGTGTAGAGGGACTTTAGGGTGGTGAAGACGGGCGGGCAGCCCTTGCTGAAGTTCATCCTCAGGTAGCTGTCCAGACACTCCCGGAACGTCTCCCCTGGCCAACACAACACATGAGATGAGACAGGGAGCCATTTTAACTGCAGTGTAACGGCTGCAGCGACACAGTGCTGCCCAGCTCCTGACACAGTCTGTGGTCATCTCCCGCCTTCACTATTGTAACGGGCTCCTGACCGGTGTCCCAGCCTGGACGGTAAAACCGTTACAAATGAGCTAGAACGCGGTGGCGTGTTTGTCTGGTCTTCAATCAGCCCAAAAACTCTCACGTCCCCCTTCTGGTCACTGAGCTTCACTGGTTACCCCTGGCAAGATATGTTAAACTGTAGCCCCCCCCCCAGCTATCCCCATGTCAGACATGCGGAAGGGAGCGAGCTGCACTTACCTGTCAGGAAATTGAGGGGCAGCCTCCGGGGAACCAAACCTTTAGGAAACTTCACCCAGGAATCCTCGTAGATCTTGAGACGCTCCTCTGTGCTGCCTGAGGACACACGGGGACGGGCAAAGACCAGGTGAGAAAAGAGGAAATGAGGAGAAAAGACAGACACGCCCCCCTCGGGCCTTCGGCCGGCCAGCTAAATGCAAAGATCCCGCTCCATTCGGGGTGTTTTACAGTTCAATTAAAGCCAAATGTGTCTTTGGGAGGAGCTCTGCAGGTCATTCACATCAGAAGCATCATCGTTGGACAGATTTCAACTTTCGGCTTTGGCGATATGGCTGCATGATAAACTTTTAGGAAACAGCCCAGACCAAACTGAATCTCATCCGGCTTCCACTGACGGATCAGAAGAGGCTAACTCGTGGCTCCTTTTCTAACTCCGCTTTTAGTGGATGGACCTTCCGCTCCATTGGACACCCGCCCCGGCGGAGAGACACGGCGCTCACCTGGATTCAAGGCTTTCTCCAGGCCCTGGTAGTAGGCCCAGTTTTCGGGGTTCCTCTCCTGGAGGCGTCGGTAGACTTCCGAGGCCTCCTCGGGCCTCTCCAGCTTCAGCAGCACCTCCCCTGCAAACGCACGCACATGGGAGACCTACAGAATCGCGTTTCCGCCGGTGCGGCGGCCGTCAGGGAGCGGCGTGGCGACGCGTCCCCGCCCTCAGACGGGCCGGGCGCACGGGCGGACGCGGGCGGCCCACCTCTGGTCTCCTCCACGGCCAGCTTGTCGCAGATCTGTTTCTCGTAGTCGTTGAGGTGATCCAGGGCCTCCTTGTACAGGCCGGCCTCCCTCAGGACCTGGTTCTGGTACAGCAGGAGCTCGCTGTACTCGTAGTCCACCTTGTCTGGAGACGTCTGGGCGGGAGCACACAGAAACCACAGATACTTAGCGGTCCGATGAGGGAAGAGAAGGAGACGACCGGAATCATCAAATGACCCCAGATCCTCTTTGCTCGTTTCCCATTAGCATTTAATCAGGGCGGTTTTCCCATCACTAATGAGTTCCTGGCAGAAAGATGGGTCAGTGACATCGTTTGGACGCGAGCAGAGACGACAATGTGCCGGCTGAGCCTCGGTGGACTGCTTCCTTTAAAAGGGACATTGTGTGGTATTTGAGGTATTTTATTAGCTAAAATCATTATAAATGTGTCCTCATTTGGTGTAAAATGACCTCTGCAATGATCTGACTTCTCCTCATAAGCAAAGAATTTGCTATCTGTATCTACACATGACGGGTGAGTCCACGGAGGTTTCCATGGTGTTCCGCCATTTTGAAAAAATAGAATGGTAGAGAGGGACATAAAGCACTAGTCTGCCAGTCTAGCTAATCTACAACGCATTTTCAGTCACGTAACTGAAATTTCTCTTAAACAAATTTAATTCATTTAAAAAAAAAAAAAATTTTTATTTCAAACCTCATCAACCACAGAAAACTGGATGGTGTGGAAGTCATGTTGTCGTAACTTGCTGCAATACCCATTAGAAAACGCGACGCACTAGAGAGCAGATTTGTTAGAACGTAAAATGCTATTTCGCCGTTGGATGGAGAAATCCCTACACCATGTCCCTTTAATGTGGCTCAGGTAAAACCGAAAACACACGGTGCGGGCTGCCAGGGGGCGGAGCCTCTGCAGCGGGCGGAGCCTCCGGAGAGACGGTGGAGCCCCGGCAAAAGCGCCGCTCACCTGTTGCGTTTTGCGGAACTCTTCCACGATCTTGGCGGCCATCTCAAAGTCCTCCAGCAGGTGGTAGGCCACGGCGTAGCCGATCCAGGAGGCCCGCTGGGCCGGGCGCAGCTGCAGCAGCTGGTACCGCGTTTCCTAAAGAAAGACGCCACAAACGTTTGGCCAGGACCCCGGATACTCGTTTTCAAAAGTATCGCGACGCTGACCTGCCGACGCTGAGCCCCTTCTCTCTGATTTCTTTGTTTATTTACGTTTTTTATGATCATTAACGTGACGTTAGCCTTGAATTGCTAGCTGTGGCTAATGGCTAATAGTAACACGCCAACATTAATGTGGGCCACCGGCCACCATAACATCAGTAACAGGTCAGTTTGAAACCAAAGACACAAACCTTTCGAAATTCAGTTACATTTTGGGGTCTTTGTTTTTATTCTTATGGTATCGAAAATGGTTTCAAGTATTTTCCTGAGTATCGTGTGTCGAGTTGAACATTTTCGTATCGTGACAAGCCTACGGTGGAGCTCAGAATCTGAAGCTTCGTGACCCTCTAAAGGCCCTCAGAGGCCCTACCCAACCCATCTGTGTGTGGGGGGGCTCTCACCCTGTATCCCTCCAGGTCCCTCATCTGGATCTGCAGCAGGGACAAGTCTCGGAGGATCTGCAGGTTGTCTTTGTCCCACTTCAGGGCGTTGCGGTAGCACTTGATGGCCTCGTCGTACTTTTTATCCGAGCGCTGCAGCAGGCCGTACACGTGCCAGCCTGGGGGTGGAGGGGGGGGCACCCGCATTCAGGAAGAGAACCGCTGTGCAGCGTTTTACAAAAGGCGAGAGGGGAGACCGGAGCGGGTCCCGGCAGCTGGGGGCTGAAAGGATACAGACGTGGCTCCTGAGGTCGTTGCGGAGGCCTCGCCTCACCAGCTCGTAGGCCTCCTCCTTCTTCCCCAGACAGTTGAGGGTCAGTCCCTTCATGGCCAGCGTCTCTACGGCAGCGGGAAAAGTGTTAGCGGACAGTGAAACACCGAGCGGAACAGGAAAAAAAAGCAAATTTCAGTCGATACAGATTCAAATCTAGTCTGGATTCTAAAATTCAGGGAGTCTCAATAAGGCAGGTGTTCGGTCACTGTGTGCTCTCAGATTCATCAGATCAGAAACCGTCTGAGCCAGTGGCTGGAAGCCCTCCAGCTGAGGCCTCCTGCTGCCCTCCTGCTGCCCTCCTGCTGAGGCCTCCTACTGGCCTCCTGTTTCCGTCCTACTGGCCTCCTGCTGGGGCCTCCTGTTTCCCTCCTACTGGCCTGCTGCTGCCCTCTTACTGGCCT